CAATCAACGTCGTGCACAGCGCTGTCGCACCACAGAGGATAAATCAATTGAAACCTTCGTTATCTTAGGAGATCGGTTTAATTTGATTGAACATCTAATTTATGACAGCGATACTTGTTTTCAACGCTGATTAAAATATCAGGACTAAACTTGGTTTTCGACAAACTTCGAAGCTAAGTCGGCACGGATTATGGTCATATTACTATTATAATTTTAACACTTTTGTTTCGAAATATAACTTTTTTTTTAATATAAAGGAGACCCTATTATCCGAAAAAAAATAACTATTACAAACTATATATATATAATATCAGCGGTACTTTCAGAAATAAAAGTTATAATGTTTATACCCAAATAGGTTTAATTAATAAAATGTCTTATAGATAAATACACCAAAAAATCGACACTCGCAGGTGGTCGAGCCTACAATCTTTCATAACCCTTTAGTTACCTGAAGTCGAAAGTGACGAATTCGTCATAAACTATTTCCCTTCCCCTATGAAATTTTAATCAGTCGAAGAAGTATTTCTACAAATATTTTTGATTGAGCCGAAAATATGGTCTAATTATTATATTTGATAAAATTGCATTTCCAAAGATAAATATACAGAGATACATTTATGAAAAGGTGGGCAAGGTTAATGCAAAACGTAACTTCGTTAATCGTTAGAGCGTTAAACGTACTAAAACAGCTCAAGTTAAGAGTAATCGTTAAATGGTAACAATCATATTATAGTTTTACCTAGTTCATATGTACCTATTGATCGAAGCGACTTGGTTTTGCTATACAGGTAAATAAAACTAGCAATCATTATTTTAAACATTTATTAACATTAAAGATTTTAGAGAAGCTGGTTCACCCAGAAATGTAGTATCAGTAACACAGTTTTAGATTTAGAATCTAACCAAGTTAAGATCGAATTCTGAATATACTTAGCTATCGTAGCAGCGGCAACCTTAAGTTTTTTTTTGTCTTAGAAGTTAAAGCGTTAAACAATATCTTAACTTCGTTAATTAACGATTAACGGTTTAACGATATTCTGCCCAGCTAAATATTTATTTTATAGAAACTTACTCAAAAATAGATCATTGCGAATGCAATATTTATCAAGTATAATAGTTATAATTATTTAATATTTCAATCTCTTTTTTAGCCATAATGTAAACAATTTGTAGGTACCGAACCTGTTTCTATATATAATGTAATATCATCTACTGACAACAACTGACTACAATATGACAATATGCTCATGTGGCTCGTGCACCCTACCTATTGTAATGTTCAATTTATTTAAACAAACAACAAACATTGATTTCTATTCATTGTTGGGGCTGGGCCGTAGACTATTACGGGGTCACAAGTGGTGGATTGAGAACGGTAACAAGATAAAGTGGCCAGTGGTGCATCAATCAAATAAGCAGCTCCTGATCCGCAGCAGTGCCAGCGTTGCTAGGACGTTTACAACACTGTCAGGTGGCAAATAAATGTCGGTACTAAACAGGCAATTCTCTGGTGTCAAGCAGCATGGCATCACTATCGTCAGTTCGAGGCGGAGAATGATAATTCCGGAACTGTTACTGTACTGGCACCAGCGGGCTCGTCGCACCGGTTGCTGTACTGTGATGTGGGGGAACCACCACACTACAAAAGCTTTCAAAAAATGACCGGCCTCCACAACGTGAATCTTGCGTGGCAGTGCGAGTCCGGCAGGATCAGGAACAAAACTGATTAAGTCGCACACAAAAAAATAAACCAAAGAAAATTTATATCAGTAAACTCGAGAATAAAAATATCAGTTCGAAATGTAGTAATAAGTTCGACAATTATATAGAACTTTGTAAAAAATATTGTTATCGATCTTTTAGGATAATTTTCCTTCTATTATTATTTTTAAACATTTTTTGAAATCTACCAAAATTATAAAACCAAAAAGACAAATTAAGAAAGGAGTAAGACAAAAATGTCCGATGCCACCGTCGATTTTAACAACTTTATTGAATGCACTTTTCAAATATTCTGGAAGCTTATTTGTGGGAGGTGAATATTACAAATATTGGCACTTTGATGCTCCCATTGGTGGGCCCCAGGTCTTCTTTATTCATGGAATTCGGAGAATCAAAACAAATACAAGCAAAGCTAAAATTTCATGGTCCGCTAAATTCCCATTACTGAGAGAAAGAAAGCAAAATAAATAATTTATGGAGCAGGCAAGATCTGCATCTGTACCAACGAGTTATAAAGATGTAGCAAGTGGAAGTTTCACACGGAGAGAGATTATAAGCGTTTGAGATGGGGTGTTGACGTAGGATGGAAGTGTTATTATGGGTTAAATAAATAACCGCTGCTTATCACTACATTGTAAAAAGTTAATAATTCATTCAGGGTCATCGTGCCATCGTCATCCTGCTTTCATAATAAAGTCCCGAGCAACGATCAAAAATTAAACTCGTTGTGTGGTTAAGCACCATGCATTTTTATATTTTTTTGTATTATAATGGAAAGATACTTTAGTCTCGTTATTTTTCAACCGGATTTCTCTGTATAATTAAAATATGTAGAAAAAGTAACCATTATTGCGTTTCTTGTTGGTTCTTCTCTGTACAAAGTCTCCTTTGCGAACCGATGGCATACTTCTTCTAATATCCTAGACTAAATAAATAATATTAAATTTAAATTAGCAGGGCAGAACGAAAAATGAATAAATACTGAATTGAGGATGGTCAAGGCAGTCAGGTGGCTATTAATACTACAGAAAGCAGGTGGGGAAAGAAGTTGTAACATTTGTTACCATTCCGGCAGGGAAAGTAGAAATAGGGGAAAAGAAAACAAAGACAACCACACAAAGAGAAAGTAGGAGTCGTGCCGTATCAAGAAATAAAGAACAAGGTTATAGAGCGAAAGAGGGGAGTATAGTGCGTGCTCCATCAACAAGACCATAGTTCTAAAATAAAGAAGTTTATTTGTTTGTCCTTTATATGTTTCAACACCTTTTTGATCAAAGATCAAATCAAAATGGATTTCGGCGTTCAAAAAAGCGGTTAATTTCACTCACAAATTTTGGTTACTCCGTTCATCTGACGCTTTGTCTGAGTTAATCTTATGCGTTCCCACTCTCAGGCCACTATTGTTAATGAAAAACAAGCACTCAACTTCGAAAAATTTGGATTTCAGAAAGACCCCTATTTTTGCTTGGAACTCAACAGATTAACTAAGCTGGGCATTCTTCCACCGTTTGCAAGCCCTGTCCTGAGTTCTGAGAATGCCTGCGAGACATCCTAGCTAAAAAAGCTATATTTTTATATCGTAATATCCTATGTAATTATCCCAAATAATTAATTTTAAAAGGGAAATTCCTTACCATTACCTCTTTAATTGTTATTAATTTTTCAATACAATGGATATGGGATTTGATAGTTACAACTCTCCATTTCTTATAGATAATTATTAACTATCCAATCTATACCTACATAAACAACCTTCAAGCACCCTTGGACAAAATAATATTTATAATTCTCTTATAGCTTAAGGATCCACAACTCGAAAGGATAACGTGGAATCCTTACACGATAACTTTATTTTCATTGTTTTTTCTCTATTCGGTTGTATCTGATCATCTATTTATCTGTCACAGTTGATTTTCTTCAATACAACTGGACTGATCGAGTCGAAAGTACGTATGTGTAAGGTAAATAAACTTTTTTGGGGGTAGGAGGAGTTAATAAGGAAATAAAATAATTTTGAAATTACTAACATGAACACTTTTCTAATAACCGCATCAAAATCGGTTCAGCCAAACGCGAGATAATCGCGGGCAAACATATCTACATACATACAGGTCAAACTGAGAACCTCATTTTTTAGAGACAGTTCGAAATAGGCGAATTTGACCATTCCTAATACCCTGGTTTCCGAAACTACGACTAAAAATAGATAAAAAATTCAGAAAATAGTTTTTTTACTTAAAGATTCTAGGAATAATTTCATACAAATATAGAATTTATTAGATTAATAGGCCTTGGTGCGCGAGTCCCACTCTTTTTTTATATTAAATACACTACTTATTTAACTGGATCTATATTTTAATAATATTATAAAGTGCAAAATTTTGGTTATTTCTTTGCTTCGAATAGGCTCCGTTACTACTGGACTATTTGAAAATTTACGCGACCAAAGTTACCGGAGAACAGATAATATTATACAAAGTTTCAACCCTACTCTACTATCAACTGCCTATAAGGGCTTCAGTTCGCGTTTTTTCAGTTTTAAATTAGAATGTATTGTTTACATGTAAACAATTAGTTTGAATTTAAAACTGACGATAACAACGAATTTGAAGAATATTATTCTATAAATGAAGAATATTTCTTCTATACTAATATAATAAAGTATAAGTATAAGATTTGAGTGTTTGCATCTAATAGGCTCCGAAAGTGATTTAATGATTTAAATTTATTTTTAACCTACGACAAGCCACATCGTTTGCGGTTGACCTAAGTGTAATCACTTGCTAAAGTGGCTAGGTAGTTCAAATGTGAAGTCTCTACGATCCGCGGTCAAGCCTGCGCTAGGGCTGCGCGTTATGTCGAAGTCAGTTAGTATGTTTGTTTCGCCGAAAGAAATTGCTATTTCCAAGATATAAACATTCGACTAATTAATAAAATAATATCAAATAATAATATTATATTCTGTAAGTATTCGCCAATAGCAGATTATACCAAAAGAGATAAGTCACACAAGTTTGCGCGTTTTGAGAGATTGCCAGGTAGATGCCCAGTTGCACAAACGTCCTTTAAATTGCCATTAGTTTAAAGCGACATTACCGATACAGATTTCGAATTTAGAATATTCATTAGATCTCAAATTCGTCATTAAAACTTAATTAACGTTTGCGCAACTGGGTCTATCATAGTTACAATTGAGGTGGTTCATTAATTTGTATACTTATGTTTCATTTTACATTTTATTATTGAAATCCTACATAAGCATACTAAAGCGGGAATCATATCGAGCGTGTTTCGTCGTGCTTCACATCTCCACGACACGCGAGGAAGATAGAATTCCCGCTTAACAATAAGCAAATGTGGACTAAACTAAATAAAAGCATAATAGATAGATTAATATCTAGACAAAAGCGGCATTCATGGAAACTTCAAAGGCGGCGGCTTACTGTAAATATTTACAGTACGGTCACACGCTCTTCGCAGATTTCACAGTAGGGTCTGTACGGGCGACGCGCGTACTTACGCGAGTCATGTTTCTCGTCCACGGGTGGCGGCGGCGGTGGGGGGGGCGGCAGTTGCTGCTCGAGGGCGTTCACGCAGTTCATCATGCTGCCGTACAGCCGACTGTCGCGGAAACTGTCCCTGCACACACCATCACCATCAACTGGCTTCGAACTCAAGTTTCGAGATGAGCACATACATTTGGTCGCGTTCCTTGGAATTCCTGAAGGCGGCGGCTCGGCACCCGGCCCCCTCTTCTTGTATTTCCGAGTTTAACCTTAAGATGACACTTCATTGAATCCGTTTATTGGCGGAGGCTTGTTGTGTTATGTGTAAAGCACGATGCATAATATATCGTGGATAATATAGGTAATTTTATGTAATTAATGTCTGTAACCTCGCATTATCGTTACCGTATAAAGAAAAGTATGGCATATTGGACCGGCAGTTATATTTCGAAATTTTATTTAAATTTCATTTTTTGCGACACAAATGGAAACGTATCTTATTAGTATCAGCCATATTGATTTGTTGTGATATTGAGAGTGATTAAAATTCTTGTATGTTCTTTCTTTTTAATGAGGCGAGATTTTAATAAGGCAACACATTTTTTTAATTACTTATGGTAGGAGAATTCCGAAGCTTATCAAATAAATTTATTAGGAGCAGCTTGAATATGGGGAGTGCGTTGCATAGTCGTATAGCCTGAAGAGAGAATGAGTTTGAAATGAACTCTGTACGGTGAGAAGGAGTAGCGAGAGGCTGCAGCCGTGTGAAGCACCTAGATATTTCAAATATCCAGCTACACTTGAATCTTTAATGGTGCAATGAAGGGTAGAGAGCACCTTCAGATGTCGATACTGGCGAATAGTTAAGCATTATAACTTTTTCCTAAAATAAGAGATACGACCGTTATGAAGAAAGAAAATGAAATGTATGTAATCATTAAGTAATCGATCCAATCTGTTGAGAAGTTCCTGTGTGATATCAGTGTAACACACATCAGCATAATCTATAATGATAAAAATGATTGATTTGATTAAAAGGATTTTAGAGGAAATAGGAAGCAAATTTCCGAATTAGTAGGAAGACCTAAGGATACCAATGACTTTGTGACTAATAGATTCAATCAGTGTTTATAAAAGTGTTAAAGATGATTGGCGCTATCGAAATCATATTCAACTTTGCCAAAAGACGAGCACTGTCCACGATGATGGTCTGGCACTTGTAAAGATTGACACCATTCTAAAAAGTATCAGACTAGTCTAAGATATTTTGTAATTCCTTATTAATTTAGTAAGATATATTATCCAAGTCAACTATTCCAGTTTGAGCATAAATCCGCAGGTCTTCCGTGTACTGATGATGAGAGTTACCGAGAACAGATGAAAATTAAGAAGAGAAGGGGAGAAAGTATACCGCCTTGTAGAACACAAATTGCCAGCCTGTCCTTTGTACGAACCGCCTGCTGACGTCCCAGAAGATAGAAAAAGAACTAGTCTGCCTAGTCTAAGTAACGCAAGGAGAATGTCAGAGTAAAAAGCTTTGAAAACGTTAGAGAAATCAATTAGAACTGATACTGTTAGCCGTGACATGCCCATGCCATCAAGTAAATCCTTAGTTATATTTTATAAAGCGGTAATGGTGCTATGACCTCGACGAAAGCCAGACTGATACTGGTTCAAATTATGATTACTGGCTACTCAAGCAGACAGTTAATTAGGGACATTGACTTTCATAGCTTTCGATATAAATAACACAATAGAAATTGGTTTAATACTGCTGGGTTATTCGCTTCACATGTGTTTTGCAACGAATTATAGGACAGGTTCCAGTAGATAGGGAGAGAGATTTATTATGTGAGTGATAATTGGTAGTGTACTAACCAGAATTGAAAGAATCATCTGCCTACTAAGACCAAAAAACTAAGAATCAAAATCCGTGAATTATAGAGATCTAACCTATATAAAAAGCGTTATGAAAAATGGCCCAATTTACCATACTTAATCTTATACATCATTATATTTTCAGCATGTATTTAAAAAATCATCTCAACTTAGATTAAAGTGAAATTAATGAATAAAGTAAATCACGGTTATGAATGTCCCATATATTTTTAAATTATTGTGAATGTGAGAGGTTGTGATATCACTTCTGACCTATGTTGGTGACGCTTTATGATATATATACCGTAGAAATTGTCTGACCCCGTAAATTCAATGAAAATTTGATACAATATACTTGTCTAGAGTTTATATTATGTATAATTTGTATAGTAATGTATTTTGTGTGATGTCGGAGCCTTAATATTGCAACCGTAAATTATAAACAATCCCATCATCATCATCTTTTCAGTCAGATAACGTCCACGACAAATTCTTCAGAATCAGTCCGAAACCTTGAGGTCATTTTCGATCAGTTGCATTCAGTCAGAAAGAAAATGTTAGCTGCGCACAGATCACTTGATCGATTGCGGAATTTACCTACACATACCAAAATCACATTTGCACATTTTTTCTGCATCGTTAACTATACTGATGTTTGTTATACTGATCTGTCTAAGGTACTCTTCAACAAACCGGATCGTTTTTAGAATATAAGTATCGGATTCATTCACAATTTTGACAAACATGACTACGTGTCACACTTCCGTTCCAAAGAAAGTGGCTTTCCATTCGCCGGCGCAGAGACTTTACATACTCTGACATTACATTACTCGGTTCTTTCTCTACCTATGTTACCTCCTTATCTAAAAAATGTTTTACTTTTCAAATCCCCTCTTCACACTGCACTCTGCGTTCTTCATTAAACTCAAACCTCGAAATTCTATACTCCTTATAGATACTCCTTTTCCGTACATGCTGTGAGCCCGTGAAATTCATTGCCAGAAAAGTAGAGTCGCCTTCTATCACTAAGTTGACGTTTTTAATCCTTTAAGGTTTTAGTAAAGCATTCAATTCTGTGGATTTTGTGATATTATTAGCAATGTTGGTTTCTTTTGATGTATCTCCACCGGTAATTGATTGGTTTCATAGTTACCTGTATGGGCGGTGGTAGCGCATTTCTGTGGGAACATATTTCTCATTTTGGTGCGACACAACGGCCGAAGTTCCGCAGGGTGGCGTTTTTTCCCTCTCCTATTCTCTTTCTTCATTAATTCCTCTACCTATAACTCTTCCTCTACCTTCATCCTATCACACATGTATATGCAGAGAACTTTCAAATTTATCCTATAGAAAGTCTGTCAACAGCAATTGCCACCACTAACAAAGATCTTCAACATATTTCGGTTTGGACTCAACGAAATGGTCTGATAATCAACCTACGAAAATCTCAGGCAATTATTATCGGAAGTCATTAGTATTTCCGCAGGAAAGATTATAATATATTACCACTTATTTTGGTGTTCTAATACATATTCAAGATAATGTTAAAAATGTAGTCATCACGTATGTGAAGTCAGTAAAAAATATTTGGTGCATGTAGCTCGCTCACACGACTTAAGAATCTTTTGCCGACTAAGACGTAAATTGCTCTTGTGCAAACCCTGCTTCTCTCACTGCTTGACTATGCCTGTTATATATTCCTGTTATATAGACATAAATGTTGAGCGTTTTCAGAATTTATGTATCCGTTTCATCTTTGGTCTACGTAAGTTTGATTATATCTCTGAATATCAAGCTCAAATTTAATGGCTACCCATCTATCGTAGAAGAGTCTGTCACATCCTTTCACTTTATCTTATCTTTTTTAATCTACACCGCACTATTTTAAAGAACGCTTCATCTTTTACTCTTCTAACCCACTTCGAGATTTGAGGTCTTCCCATAACTTATCCTTTGTGATCCTTCTCTATACAAGTGATTTCTAAGTCAAGTCATTTTACATCAGAGTTACTAAGTTGTGGAACTCACTGCCTGTAAATATCAGATGCGCGAAAACACGGAATTCTTTTATTAAACTAGTCAAAGAACATTCCTCAAGCTGTATTTATTAGGTACCCAGATATGTTTATTATTAGTATTGACTTGCACCCACTCCCTGCTTGTTCTTTATTCATTTATTTTCCGACATAAAGACCGCTTTTTGTATACTACTTTTTTATTTTGCTTCTTTGTAATGTGTCCTTTGTAGTGTCCAATAAAGAATGTTTTATTATATCAGTTGATAATTGAAAATTAAATTTACGATAACAATATCAAGGCTATTGTAAAGTGAATATTATTTTGAAAAATAACAAGAAAAATCTGACCTTCCGTTAGAGTTCCGGAATAAAGCCAATATCTCCTCGAAGGTCTTATTTTTCGTTTCAGGAACTTTTTTATAAGTAAATATCCAAAAAACCGCAAGAAATACACTAAAAGGCAGGAATGTATAGTTCTCCAGTAGTGCCTGTAAAAAACATTGACACCACATTTAATGTATTCAACCATTAAATCTTGAGATTAAGTATAAAAACACTCTCATATATAAATAAGCAACATTGCATATAAAGCAGAGCAGCTACCTTGAGTTTATTTTTTTACACTAATGAATCATGGAAACAACCAAGGTATTTCGTCCTAGTTAAGATTTAGTTGTTACATCGTTCTCCTTTTGAGTCAGTACGTGTATGATTTCACGAGTAATTGCATATAGAAGTAGTATTTAAAACGCAGTCATACCTTCATGCTGGGGAAGCCTATTCCGACCACGAAATTGGCCATCCAGTTGACTAAGACGGCGATGGCCATAGCGCTAGGTCTCGGTCCCTGCGAGAATAATTCGGCAGTGATCAGCCAGGGAATCGAGCCCGGTCCCAGCGCGAAGAACACCACGAAGCTCAGGGTCGACACCACAGACAGGTAGCTCATCCAATCGATCATTTCCTGGACATACCCGAAGAACTCCTATCAGATGATAGCATGCCAGTTCTTTCCTGTCTGCCGACCGGATATTATAATCGCAAACATAAAATGCACGCCACACGGTATATAATCTGTTTGTGCGTTATGAACGAGTAGGTATACCGTCAACGTCCATACTCGCTGTGAAGTAGTGAGAACCGTTATGCGTAATAGTGAGGTGCTGTCTGCTTCTGAGCAGTGTTCTGTGAGCCAGCTTCATATGCGTGACCTAGTTCCCCAGCCTTCGACCTGGTGTGTGTCGTCGGTGCTAGTGATGTCTATCTTTTATATTTGAGATTATAATTTTATTTACAAAACCCTTCACTAAAGAGATTCCGGTATCGGATACAGGAAAGTCGAATTTAGGGGGGAGGACAACTACTTTGAAGCAGAAGCAAAGAAACGATGACAGTGAAATAAAATAATGTTGACACTCGCGGGGTGCATGCACTCACTGCAAACTATAGACCAGTGGCGTGGCTAGCGGATCCGGGACGTTGTCTGTTCAATCAATGCTAGAAATATCCGCTAACTACGCCACCGCTATCGATATTCCGAGATTTATCGAAAGATGGGATGAACCAATTGAAATTTAAAGTATTGTCGTGGGGAGTTAACGTCGTGGAAGAAGCAATGCGCTACGACTACAACTAACTATACTTTTTAGATGGTACTTCGATAAATTTTATTTCGAAAGACATTAATATCATACTGAACAGACTAAAAATATCAAATCTGTTAATGCGCTTTTAAATAGTTAGTTATACACTGTGTGCAGCTGTAATTATAAAGTTTTTTTTATTAGAAGTTACAGTGCAGTGTAACTCGGGCAACAGTTTATAACCTGTTCAACCCTTCAATAACCTATCATCATAATCCGAGGAGTACCGACTAAAAAGATATCGTTTCAAGTGTTCTAAATAAAATCAAATATTGAAAAATTTCAAACACCTCATGCTTATCTATAAATAGAAAAACAATTATAAATAAATATTGAAATATACATAATAAATAGGTAAAAGGGCGGAAGTAATTTTTCCTTTATTTCCCATAACTTACTTTAATACTGGATGCCCTGGTGTACTTCGTATTACCTCTCACCGTATAAATGTTCCCTGGACTAAGACAATCATTTCAAACCCAAAATCATCCAAATCGACCCAACAGTTATCGAGTTTTACCGAGACAAACGAACAGCATTTGATTTTTATACTAATATTTAAAGATGCTACTCAGTTACCCTCTAAAACCGTAACCTTAATTGTTTAATATTCTTTCGAATCGTTTTCGAAAAACGTTCTGGTAGTACTTAAAAAGATCACACCTCGTTCCCTCCTTACACAGACAGACAGACGGGTAACCTGTTCGGTGTTGTAATATCATAAGCAGTAATTTAAAGGACACACCTTTATGAGAAACGAAATGGTGATGAAAATGGAGAAGATGAACATCCCCCCGAGCCCGTATAGGTGCAAGGTCCGTCGGCCGGTGCGATCCATCAGCGGCAGCGACACCAAGGTCATGCCCACCATGATGGCGCCGATGCCCATAGTCGCGAACTTAGCCGACTCGTCCGTTAGGCCGGAGGAGGTGAACAGGAACGTCGAGTAGTAAAACACCTGACATGATTGTAGAAATGATTAACTCGACATTCAAGGAATTAGCTTTTATTATTATTGTAACAAACACACTCCTCACAAAGTACAACCTAGCCAAGCCAGCCTCCATAGTTCCATAGATAATCTCTAACCGACAATATAATATGCGCGGGCTGTCATTAGTGTTGCCCTACCACAACAATGATAATACATACATATAATGAAATAACGTGTATTGTGTATCTTTACACAGTATATTGATTCTAACGTGATGATGGTGTAAGAAAGGAAGTTAACCTGAAGATGTTGTGATCAATGAAAATATGACAATCAATGGATTTTATAAAGTATTGATGAACTTTCACTGTATTGTAACATCTTTTCAAAATTATTAATGCCGCTATTATAATTATTGGGAACACACCAACTACTTACTCTGTAAGCACTTAAGGCCGCTGCTTAGGTATATAATACGGTATTTATTATACTTATTATTGTTGAAAATATATATATACATACATTTGAATGATTATAAGTCAGAATTCTTTGACTTACAATATTAATAAATTCTGTAAAACGCATTACAGGATGTGTAATATTTTTCATTACACACATTACTGAATAAATATTAGACAACATCACATGCATTCCTTTAACCACAAATTAAGCAGCTACTTGAGAGAATCAAATAAATAATTCGAAATTCGAGATCATCTAATCAGTCTATACTGTTATAAATACTTGCGAATGTCAAAAGCTACATTGGCTTGCAAATCTGCTTTGTACTGGAAAGAATCGGAAAGAAACTCAGAAAGGCTGCTTTTTATCCGTGTTTTATTGTAGACAGAGAAGTCCAAATAAAATTGCACCACAACTTTTAGACTCGCGATAATAAGCAAAAAGCCCGACTGGGAATTGATCCTAAGAATCCGCGACTCCTTGAAACCGGGCCGGTCATAAGAAGGGTGATAAAAAATTTATTATCTCGAGCTCCACTGCTATTTGTAAGGTACATTAAACCAATGAGTACCTCGGTGGCGTAGTGGATAAGCGCCGCGGCTCGCGATCGTAGTCGTTAAGCAACTTTCGCAAGGGTCGGTCACGGGATGGGTGACCAAAAAATTATTATCTCGAGCTACTCCGTGCTTCGGAAGGCACGTTAAGCCGTTGGTCCCGGCTGCATTTGCAGTCGTCAATACCCTCCAATCCGCATTGGGCCAGCGTGGAGGGTCATGGCCCATCCTCCTTAACCATCCATAGGGAAGGCCTGAGCCCCTGCAGTGGGGACGTAAAAGGGCTGGTGATGATTAAACCATTGGTACTGGGTGCATCTGCAGTCTGTAATACTCATCAATCCCTACTGTGCCCGAATTGTGGCTTATCATCTGTTCTTTCTGTTTAATTCCATCTATAGGAATAGCCGGTACCCAACAATGGGGATATTAACAGGCTGATGGTAAAATTCAATAATATATAAATTAAAAAGAGACCCCTCTTTTTTAACCCCTTTTTAATTCAAATCAAATCAAAATCAGTCTCATGGCGAGCGACCTTGTACTGAGAAGAATCGGCATGAAACTTATAAATATCTGATGATGTTATATTTGAAAGCGAAAATGTGCATCTCCTTCTCCCTCAGCCATACCGCGTTGATGCCGCTGAGCTGCTGCGAGAGCTGCATCACAACCCCGATGAGCAGCGGCGCGCGCAGTGTGGGCGAGCACAACAACTCCCTCATCGATATAGAGGCTTCCGCTTGCTGCGCACGCTCCTCCGCTCGCATCTCCTCTATGTCTTCTTCCACCTGACAAACCGACTCCTTGTAAAACCAATGCCGATATTCATACCTATTACGTGTAAGTGTTTAAGCCAAAAGTGATTTTCTTTAATTTTAATACTCGCATAATATCGGATACAGAAGCGGAGGCGGTGGGGGCATAACTTACACGTTTTAATCGATCACTTATTTTTTAGTGTACGACGTACTATACCTTGTGGTATTTGGTTTATTCTTCTCTGACCTGAAGAACCGCATTGTATATGTCGCTATCAGTACGTAGATTTAAAGATATTATTAATACCTAAATAGAACGGAAGTCATGTTACAAGACAATATGAGCGAGATAGAATCTAGAGAAAGAGGACCATATTTACTAAGGAAAAACTTTATCATGAACATTGTTAATACCTGATTGCTGGCCCTCAATCTCCTGAGCGCACGACGTGCCTCTTCCTCCCACTGTCGTGTGATGAGCAAGTATCGTGGAGATTCAGGGCATGCCGGTAGTAAGATTAATTGCAGTATCGCGGGGCATATAGCTAGTCCTGGACAAACATATACTCAGATTAGAGCTCATCAGTATAGCGAGCAAAACGGCAATAGCTAAGTTCTCAGCTTTCAGTAGATATACCCATTTCCAAAGTATACGTAACCAACCATTAGATGTAGTCTACTAGAATTTTGTGTATTTCACTATTGATATCACATTATCATTCCGACTGCCTGCCTCTTTTTAACTGATTTTAAAATCAAAAAAGAGGAATTTTATATTCGTCGGTTATATAGTAATATAGGTTCTATAGCACTAGCACATAACACCATTGACATGTTAATGTAAGTAATTAGACTTTTTCATGTTTCTGTATTAATATGATAGTCTGAATCTTGACGGAAGCGGCAGAGTAATGATGCATCTAACTGATGCAATGAGTCATGTCATAGACTTTACATTTACAGTCGCCGGGTGATAAGATAATTAAACAAAATGGAAATATTTAATAAGCTTACCAAGAAATTGAGCAAAGGTTCATTGATCTATTAAAATAATTGTATATAACTATTTACTACACGTATAAAGTAATAGTTGTTGGTTTTTGCAAGGCTAAATATCGTAGTTTTAAGTTGTCACTATTGTACTGCTGCAGCTTTCACTGCGTCTATAATGAAACATCGGTTAAGCATACCTATATATTCAATGTGATACAAACTTTATGTAGATTGTTAGAATGCAAATGCAAACGTTAGAGTCCTATATGATGAGAGCCAGATTATTCGTAGATGTATAAGAGTTAGTACCGAGTAGTATGGGCCAGCCGTCGTCGGTGCCAAGTATCTGCTCTATGCCGAGCACCTGGGAGAGCAGCAGACCTACGGTCACCGCCAGCTGGTTCACTGTGCCCAGTCCACCGCGCAAGTTTAGGGGCGCGATCTCAGATATGTACATTGGCACTAATGAGGTGTTAAGACCTGTATGAGAAAATAAAAACGCTTATCCGTATGGCTGGTCAGCATTTTCATGAAGATTTCAGTAATATCATGACTAAATATTGGGTCTGTATATGTTATACAGAACATAACAAATTAGTTACCTATATTTTTACAGCTAATCGTACTCTGCTCAGAAATATAATATTTCCACGTATTTATTACCACTTTATTTACATAATGATACAAACGACTTATTTGATATCTGAATCTGTATTAGATAGAAATAAAACGTCTCATTAATTAGTAGTTGATAATAAGTAAAGTTAATTACGACTTTAATTTAATTTTGAAACATACATGATGCAAATCTATCAAATAAAGCTTTATAAACTTGATGTGTAATTAGAAGAAACTTCTTCTTAATGAGCTTACCACAATTGACTCCTATGATGAACCTTCCGAAGATGAGCAGCTCGTAGCAGTGAGAGATCTTGGTGAAGCCCATGAGACTCGCGCCACTGATGCCTAGAATGTTATTGAGCAAAAGACCCCCCTTCCTGTCAATAAAATAAAATCTTTGTCAAAGGGCCATTTGTAAAACACTACTCGATGCAAAAAGTAATGGAAGAGAATCAAATGGAATTTTTAACCAAATTTTGATTAATCAAATTCAATTGAAGGAGTCTTACTTTAACAATAATCCTATGAAGATTGATATTATTTCATTTTACAAAGCTCAAGTTAAGTCAGTATAGAAAATAATTCGCTCAATTACCTTCCAAATCTGTTAGCAATCATTCCCCCGGAGAAACCGCCCAGCATTCCCCCGATGGCGAAGATGCTGACGGCGATGCTGTACAGCTTGTTCACTGTGTCGTCATGCAGGTCCAGACCGTATCGATTCTTGTATACGTCTTTCATGAAGTTGGCGATGTTCTGCACAAATATGTATTACCTATTATTTCACCCGAGTCCAAAGTTTCGAATAATGTAAATAGGTCTACGTAATCACTTTGTTCTATTTCAGAAAGACACTGTAACTAATGAATATTTTATCAGGTAGTTTGTGATGATGAAGATGATGTAGATATACCGAGTGATCAAGAATTCTTATAAATACAATTAGTAGATGGTTTGTATGTTTGTATAATAATGCTTCCGAAATGAAGAGATTTTTTAAAATTTTATTTGAGTTTTTGACTTTGATATTGACTGTAGTGGGTAGTGAGTGAGTAGTGAGTGGGTACACACTCACTTTGCCAGGAGCGTTGATGACACCAGTGTTGTATCCGAACTGCAGCATACCGAGCACCGCTGCCAAGATGGCGTACGACAGGAAGAAAGTTAGCCCCTGTAATATAGACAGACAGTTTTATTACAGACAGTATTCAATAAAAATTATTATCTTTCAACAGGAGAAATAAAATCGAAATAATCTGTAATTAAACATTAGAAAACTAATGAGGAAGTATTTAAAAAAAACGAAAGTACTAAAAAAGCACCTCCACTAGATGGCGACTCTAACAAAAGTTGATTTTTGCAGGAAACAAATGGACCAAAGCCAGTCACTTCCGTTCCTTTTAACTAATATATTAAAAAACTGAAATTTGAAAAGTTCGAAACTTAGATATCAAATTCGAAAAAGTACAAATAGAATATGAGTTGTTTATTGCGTTTTGAAAACTAATTTACTTTTAAACATGAAAGAAAACCGGAAGGGCTGTCATGGAGAAATCAAGAACGTACCGTAGCGACATCTAGTTTGATTTCGGGATCTAATGTTAATTTTTTAAATACTTCCTAATTATATTTGTCAGTGTTCTGTCATATTGAAATTTTATATATTCACGTTTTGAATGTGGTAGGAAAAGAAATCACTTCTTGTTGTATCCAATAGATAAATTTGACATTTCCGTGCGATACGAATTCCATTTGCACCGGATGGGTTTTCGTGGAAAGTGAACATAAAGTAGTGGTGGTAGAGCAAGGTGGTTGAATGAGACCCTCTCACATAAATCATACTGGTATAAGTCATATGTTTAAGTTGAATATAACACAGTACACAGTGCCTGCTCCGTGCGACGCGGCCAAAGTTATGACATCTATGTGCATGTGATATTAGTCACAGCCATCGTAAACCAACCTGTACCACTCGGTACACGTTATCGACATAAAATATTGCTATTATTACAATACTCGTCGAATTTATTTTGTTAATATTCATTTTCATTTATTTATACCTAATCTGAGAAACGAAAGTGGACCCGAAATGCGCGAGATTTGTGTGGAGTGTAATTTTACTTCTTTTTTAGATTTTCTAAGTCGGTTTTGTTTTATTTAACATAATTTAGTTCAACGCAGGGTCTTTCGTGTCGAAAATTGTACCTACTTATATTTAGTCTCCATCGAGCAATTCAATATTAATCTGGCGTCTGACGATGCAAAATGAAATTAGTTAGTGGCGGTCTCGGGAAATGCACCAGTTGAGCGTTCTGCCCAATGCAATTAGACGATCAATGGAAAATACATAATTACTTTTCCTTTGAAGGGTCTATATTTTAATTTTAAAATAAATTGCAAGCAAAAGCTTCCTTGAAGAGCGAGTTAATCTGTCCCAGAGGTCACAGGAGTTCAGAATGGAAACAAGGAGTGTTCGAGACTCTATTAATGAGTGTACACTTTCGTTGGTACAATTATATTTTAAATACCTGCTTCTGTATTTATGCGGTACATTATTATTTATCTATTGAGTACTAGCACTCGCGAAGTTGCAAATAATTAATAAATAAATATTTTTTTAAATATTAAACAACATCACATACATTGCTCAGATTCCAAGATGAGTAGCTAAAGCCCCCGTATTATGGAGTATCTGAGACAACGAAGTTACCACAACACCCAGACCCGAGTCAATATAGAAAAGTTCATTTTCTACATTGACCCGACCGGGAATCGATCCCGGGACCTCAAAGATGGCGACACTTTGAAACCCGCGTGCAAACCACTTGGCTACGGAGGTCGTCAAAATTGATCCCTTATCCTTGCTCGATAACATAACGGTTAGTGCACTCGGCCTGTTATGTAGCTATATTTACAAATATTAAATTTTATTAAAATAATAACCTTTAAAAGTAATCCATTAATATGCAAGGCCATACGATATTTAATATTCAAACTTAAAAACTCTCATTAAACTGCTCCACGAGAGATTTATTCGATATCGACACCAACAAAGCCGGAATTTTTCAATTATATTTATTGTCAAGTTCTGCCGTCGTAGTATTGCGAGCCGATGGATTGACCCCTGCTAGAGCTCGGCAACGGCCCACATTGAATAAGTACGAATAATATTGAATTTGAGAAACTCCCCACTGCCATTTCTTCACATAACTTTCCAAGTTAATATGAACTGAGAAACAGTGTCATGTCACCAATATTGAATCAAAACTCCAAAAATATTTAATTACCACCACCTAAAAGGTACCCATTTATCAGTTCATCACAAATAAGTTGTTACGCTGCTATCCGCCTCATTGAAGGTAAATATCAATTTTTTTTTCACAGAAAAGAAAATCTCCATTCTTCTGAAAAAAACTTATGAATCTCCAGTCTCCGCTTAACTACGTCAAAAAAATAAATCCTTATTTCAAACAAATACACAATTGGAGCAATAAAAGTGGTTTATAAATAAAGTAGGTACATTAACACTCTATATTTATTGTTTGATGACTATAAAAACACAAAATTTCATAAAGGACGTTATTAAATTCTTTCGTTTATTAGATAAATGCTCAAAATTTCCGAGGTAAACATGTTATGATAGTTCCTGCGGTACTAAATTTTCACTAATGTAACTATACTAGCGTGGCGTCTCCTAGTATCGGCCCTCTCCTAATATCGGCATTTTCGAGAAAATAATCATAAATATAGTCCGAAAAGTCCAATTGTCTTTATGCGAAAAGTAGCCCTGTGTCTCTACGAATAACCTCTCATATCTTGGTGCGTCGTTTGGTGCCATTGTAGAGTTCAATCCCTGCATCGACGCATTACGTTGATTTATATTTGAATTGAATATATTCAAGGTATTTTTTAAAATTTATTTTTTAAGGAAAAGATTCAAAGTACCGTTTAGATAGTATACATAAAAGACTATTAAAAGGAAATATATTCAAACAACGCGAGTAACCATTTGTCTTCACCTTCTTCAATATCACTAAACAATTCTTTTTCACAACCTGCTGCAAGGGCAGTTTCGTAATTGCTGATCCTTTAACGATGTTTCTTTACTACTTTTATTTCGTTGGCTCGCTTATTTATTTAATTTACTTTACTAGTTTCTGTTTTACTTTTCGTGCTTTCTTCTTTTTTTATCTTTCTTTCCTTTTACAGTAATATATTTATTAGGCTTTCCAGAATTCAAATCAAATATCTAACCGCATTTTTCTTCTTTTTAAGGTTTGGTTTGGTGATGAAGCCTTGTATTTTTGAGCACTTAAATGTTTCTAAGTGCTAAAATTAATAAAATATGATATATTGATGTGGCGGATAAGATTATACTCGTACTTGAATCTTGGTTCGGAGTTATTTTTATTTTTATTCAGAATGTTGCTTCTTTGTGATCTTTATTATTTTGATTTTTAAAATGGAGGCATAAAAAGAAAACTTAAAAGGTTTAAAATAATAATTTGTCCAACCATCCCCTATGAAAAGGTATGCCGATATCAGGGTAATAGGCGGAGGATGTTAGGGTGTTTTTTATTTAATTTTATTTTATTAGAGTAAACAAACAGTGATAGTTTGAAATATAGTTAAAAATAAAATTATATATTAAATTTAAAATCGCCACTAACACCGTTTACCACGTTCACAAATTCTAATTACTAGGTTTGGTGGTTGGATTGATTTTTATAATTCTTGTAAGACTATCTGTCTCTGTATAGATCGGTCTGCCCACAAAAGGTATTGCAAGAAAGCCATACCTAATAATACGAAAATGGCAATCAGTCAAAGGTAAAAAAAGTTAACACGGCCGATAATTGGTACCTCCACCCTGTTCTGATCTGAGTTTTATTCCATGTTGTGAGTAATTGTGTATTGTTACAAACATCAACCGTATTACCTGTTCTAGAAGCCTTAGTTTCCTACGCTGCGAATGTTCTTCCAGGCGGTCCACGTACTCGCGCAGCTCCTCGATCTCCTCCTTCACCTGTTGCACCGTGTCCAGCTCTTGCTTGATGGCTACCATATCACGTTTGACCTGATGACATATATTATTTTCGGGTACGTGTGCATCTAAATATTGAGCGTTTATTGGAATGTTACATTCTATGATCTAATTTAAATTACATTTTTTACATGATCCGACTTACATCTATTAGAACGCCACTTGCGAGTATTGAAAAGCTGCATATTAGAAGTTTTCCTATATTACATATGTTGACACCAACTGTAGTAGGCAAAATTTGTTCTATTTTCTAATTTTCTTTAAAAAAATATTTGTCAAACGGAAGTACAGTAAGATACTCACGAATAATCCAAATAACGTCTCGCTTTTTTCCTGTTCAAATATAAAGAACCTTAATTAGAGTTGTGGTAAACTACACTTACCTCGGAGACCTCACTCTGGCATGATTCCACGCTCTTGGTGAGCTCCTGCAGCTGCGTGCGGATCTCACAGAGCGCCACCGTGGTCTCCAGCTGGCGGTCGCCCTTCTGCAGGTTGTCCAGCTTCTCCGACAGATTCATGCTCATCACGCTCACCTGCCTCTGAAGGCTGCGGGCACGGAAATGATTGTCATTTCTGTTGACAGTTAAACGTTTATTGAGAACATCAGAGTGCGTCATTACTGTGGTGGTACTGTGGAGAAAGTTTTATTTATTTAATCTAAAAAGCGACGTAATGTTTGGTCGATTTATTCTATAATATTATAATTGTTTATCTTTAATATTAAACAAGTAAAGCGAAGGAAATCATTCAAATGAATAATTAATCAACCTATTTGTGTTCCTGGTAAGGCACAGACCTTCTCTATGGACACTGTAACTCAGTAATGGCCGCCATATCTCACCACACGGACTCAGTGTGGACGGATATTTTCAAATGAAATTACTATGAGATATTAGTAATCAAAACGTTACACTCGATCACTAATGAATAATCCTAGATAATAGAAATTGCAATTATCTCATTCAAATAACCGTGAAAACCTGATATGTTTGAATGAATTAATGCGAGTAAATTAATTCCATGAAAATGGAAAATAGGCGTTCTATTTGTGTAAAGAGGCATGCACTGATAGCGCCATTATTAACGGGTTTGTACTTGTTAATTCATATCAATGTATCAAAAATATATAATATACCTACCTACCATTGTTCTGTATACATATAAAAATTAACCATTTTTTATATTTAACCTGTTTCAGACTCTCGACCCGTTCTACTTATTGCATTCGTTAAATATTATTAGGTAGATTTAAAACAAGGCCTAAAAATAAGAGAAAGATAACTAACTGACTAACTAAACGGAGTACACATAATATAGCGTATCACACGTCAAAAACGATTTTTAATCAATAAGATTACTTTAAAAGCACCCTGTGAAGCTCTCAGTTACGTAATAACACACATTTATCAATTACAGAGAAATAGATGAATAATGAGATAACTTTTTAATTTTCTCTATCGAAAATTCTCTTTCTTAGATTTACTGCCAGTTTCTTTAGTGCCACGAAAACATTGTTATTTAAAAACTGATATATCGTGCGGAAGCCTACGAATGTCATAGAGTTGAGATAGGTACCTGTCCCGCGTGTCGCCTTGGATGGGTTTAACGTATTTGTATTTCGTGTTCAAATTTATGAACTCAATTACCCAACCATGCCTAGCGGCACACGGTGCGGGCTGAATATAGATAGTTCCCGCTTTACCTTCTCTCATTACATCGGTCGGGAATCGATCGTTGTATGGATGCAATCAAATTAGATTCGATCTCATCGTAGCCACGTTATCATTTAAATGATAGGTCAATACGAATATTTGCGTACAAGTGCAAACATGATTCGTTTCATCTTTTAAAACGGCGTTTGTTCACTGGCTCGATCAAATAAATGCAATGTTGTTTATTGAAATAAGTAAATAGAATATGAAAAGTGGCATCAGATCAAATGTACAATCTGCTGAATATTCATATTTAAAGTAAAATGTTGACTTTGAAGAAAAGTAAATAACGTGTATTATTAATTAAAGGTACAATTTTATTGAAAAAATTTATATGAATAAGTACAGCTTAAAAGCTTTGCGGGAAGTATGCTCAACATGTATGAATACGCATAGTACAAGTGAACTACTGGGTGTTGACTTTTAAGCTATCGCGCTGCATTATTAATTATTTATTATAACGGGTATTAAACGCGCTTTGTTGAAGTGTAAAAATCGCGTCTAATACCTGTTATTATAAGTATACTGGGTGTTGAGGTGCTCGATGGCAGGTAAAGCTACTTTCACTTGCGTCAGTCTGAGGATGGGTGGCTGTAAATTAATTATCTCGAGGTGCTCCGTGCTTGAAAGGATCGATAAATCGTAGGCTCCAGCTGAATCTGCAATCGTGAACACCCACAAATCCATACTGGGCTCGTAATGTAGGAAATTTACGTATCCGATTCGGTTCCATCCATGGGGATGGTCTGTAGGCCTTAGTAGTGGAAACATTAATAGCCTTATATTCTATTGCCCATGTTCATAATGTAGGATTCTAATGGAGAAAGAATTTTCTTAAATCGGTCCAGAGCCTATTCATTGCATACAAACATTCAAATCTTTTCTCTGATGTAACGTTGTAATTATTTTCTTATTGATTATTTTAAAAACGCCCAAACGTAGCATATCTGTAGAACAAATACAAATGTTATATACTTATTGCTTTTTTTTTAAACTCATTCATTTTCACCAGTGAGCATTTCAATACAGACTAACAAAACATGTTTGATCAATAACGGCAAAAAGTTAAATACGGATCCGATTTCAGTTGACTATAGTCACAAAAATTGAAAAGTATCAATGCAACTGTCAGCGAGCACTCACTGCAGGCGAGAACAAAGAACGAGAACAAAGAAAACAAGTTTTGAACATTTCAATTGCAATTCTAGAACTTTCTCACGGCTACTTTTTATTGAAAGAACTTGTAATTATTGATTTTTGATCTGTTACACATCTATACTAATATAACAAAGAGATTTTATTGCTTGTTTGCATCTAATAGGCTGCGAAACTATGGGACCGATATAAAAAAAAACTTACGTCACATGAGGGTGACAAAGGCTATACTATACGCGGGCCAAGGTGCGGGAAAACAACTAGTTATTATTAAAAAAAAATGCCTTCAGATTTTTTTCGAAAAATGAAGAAAAATAATTCATTGAACACTCACACACATTTTAACTGTAGAGAAAATTGTACAACAATATGATTTTTTAATAAACCGCAAGACACAATAAGCTTCCAGTGGCAGTGTTACGACCACATGACGTCATACATTTATTACACATTATTGCCTTTGTGTGTCATAGTGTTGCGCCTAACTACCATGATCTAATCGTCGACATAACGCACACGCACGCACACGCACGCACACGCACGCACACGCACGCACACGCACGCACACGCACGCACACGCACGCACACGCACGCACACGCACGCACACGCACGCGCACGCACGCTAGAACATGAGTGAGCCAAGTCTTGGATTTATCATGGCCAAGTGCTTACAGTCACAAGACGACTCCTACTCTATAAACGTTGGATTAACGTCACACTCAACCAAAACAATCACAAAGCTCACTTTAATAATTGCACTATCGCTCTGTCAACTTGAACGGATGACCTAAGTTCATACAACACAGTAAAAAATGGGTCGGCTGGCTCCATTAGCGCAGCTGTGATGTGATCCCATTCATTTTTATTATCGACTAGCTGTTTTCCCGTGACTTTTCCCTCTTAAATTAGTTTTCAGATTTCCAAAATAATTGTACAAAGGTTTTCTACTAGCTACTTATTTGCACATGGTTAAATCATGATTATATTGCTTGTTGATTCCCAGTTAAGATATTACAACTATCATATTTTGAATCACTAAAGTAGCGCAGACGTACACTTGTTCACTGATATTGTGTACAATAACCTACAACACAATATTAATGAGATAATGACACTAATGCAACCCTTACCCGTAGAGAGACAAACATAAATGGTTAATTATTTAAATTATAATTAAATATATTTAGAGCTCTATATTTTTATCAACGATCTCCTTCTTTTAGAATGAGTTAGGGAAAGAAAAAAATATTTTATTATGTGAATTTTAGAAACATTTTAGAGGGATTTTTAATAATTGTAAGGGATTGCCTTTACAATTATTGTTGATGTGTTGCATATAGGTACGCCGCGACTACTCTCTGACTGACTCTCGTATAATTATCAATTTTTATAATAAAACAGTAATAGTAAGTAGCTCAGAGGTAACTTTGTAATATTTCTATCGAGTATATGTAACATTTTGAATTTTACAAAATACTAAAAATAAGACATAGTTCGTTTTTAATTACAGCTTATTTGTATGTTTTTTTTATATTAAATTAATTTATAGATAACCATTTTGGTTTACGCGCTATTTTGAGAACCAACGATAACTGCAACTTTAACTCCCAGTAACTGCCCAGCAAATACACATGTGCGTTCACCGTTCCAAATAAATATAAGTAACAGGTTATGGAACATACAAACTTTAGTAACATAAGTAAGTAGCTAATTATAGCATAAACAAAATAGGTACTCGTAATTTATATTTAAATTTCATTAAACATACGTATATAATTATATCAGAATAAAGTAAAAAATTTAAAGACAAGTAGACGCAACTAAAATAAATATCAGTGTAACTTTTCGAAACAAGAAAATATACTGATTTATTACCTTATATATTTTGTGAGATCACTCTAAATAAAATATAAACAATAATTTTAGTCTTCGTCTGCTCTCCGACACTAATTAGAAATATTAGTATACTTTTGATGCATAAAGTAATAATTATATTCAATTAATATTAAAAGTGCCGGACGCCGAACGCGAGTTGACAGTACGGGTAGTCCAGTGGCACTGCCGGCACGGGCGGGGGCGCGGGCGGGGGCTGGAGCCGGGGGCGCGGACGTGCATACACGTCCGGTTATCTGCCCGGACTATTCCGATGTAGGTGCACCCCGAAGCCTTACCCAGGTGAATGTTCAAACGGAAATGCATATCGTTATACGCATGTCAGTGCTTTGTGGACGTACGCGGGGTGGGTACTACTTTATTTAATATTTAAATTCTCTAAGCCCCTACCATTATTGTAATAGTGAAACTAATGTACTATCAATATTCTATCGAGGAGTTCGACGACGCAGTGTTTATCGCGTTCTGTGTACGAACGGAGAGGATACGCTTTAGGGAAGGCCGGCCTTCGGAGGGGTGACCGAGTGTTTATTAACTCTAGTTTTCCGTACTTTGGAAGATTTAACAGAATTAATTTCAAATAGGAACTCGATCGGACTACTTTAGTATCGGGTGTAATAATTGCAAAGTGGGCCTATTAAATAATGAGATATCCGATATCAATACTGGTATTGATTTATAATTTACAACCATATAATGATTCGAGTGTGATAAAATTTTGTCAGTTCGTTAGTTCATGTTGATATCTATGAGATAAAATAGCTACGAGTACATTGAAACTTGTAAAAAATTATATACGCACAGTCGTCATCATCGTCGCCTTATTAATGTCCCCAGTCCTGAGGCACAGGCCCACCTTCTGGGTGGCATATGATATATACGTGGCACGTGATATTTGGGACCAACGGCTTCGCTTAACAATTTTTTTTGAGTCTATGTTTCTTGAAATTAATAAATTCATTATTATTACCGTGCCTTCCGAAGGAACGGAAGAGCTCGAAATAATAAATTTTTGGTCACCCATCCTATGTAGGGCCTTGCGAAAGTTGTTTAACTTCCGTATCGCAAACCAAACACGCTAACTACTGCACCATCAAGCTTCTTTTACCTACAATGGTGAAATGTGATCTTTCTAACTCTAGTTCTATAGATATTAGTGTCATATCACATCAGTGCTGTGTAGTTCCACGTTGGGTGCCAATAAAACAGGCCACTAATCATTCTCGCGTTCTCAAAGCATCTTTGCCTTCATCTGTCTTAACCGTATGCTTTTCTAAGCAAAATATAGGCAATGATTGAAACAAACAAGCAAAAGAAACCAGATGGCTTCTTAGAATAGGTTGTTATTCTCGTCCAGTAAATTATGTCGGAAGATTTCAACGAATGTTATTAGTAAGATAAAGCAAAGAGAACTCAAAAGGATGATCAATAGAATTCATATAATAAAACAGTAATACGGAGTTACCTTTTGGGCTAAAAATTTTAATTAATAATTTCTGCAAGCGCACCAAGTAGTGCATATTGATTTCAATGGAAATAATAATGAGTTGTAGTACACTTATCCGTACAGATAGCCTTTGTCGAACATAATATTAATAAAATAAAATAATTAAAACATTCTAGATTAAAATTAATTTTGTACTTGTTAATGAATGTCATTTAGTTTCATAATATACTTACGTATATTGCTACGTATGTGGGAAAATTATTGCACTGTTTGTTGTGTGCCGTGTGTTGACGAAATTTAATAATTACTTACGAGTTTAATTAATGAATTTATTAAATACGTTATGTGAAATTGATAATGTGAATATGTATAATTTGTAAAGTAAACATAATGTCATATTTGGCCAACCTCCGCTAATTGCAATGCTACTCGTAAAAGTAAATTTAATTTTCTTCAAATTTATAGGTAATTTCCAAATTATTTGCTATATAAAAAAAGTGTAAG